GTGCCTGAGACCCTGGAGAGCTGTAAGGAGGGGCTGTGGCTCAGTGGTAGAGCACCTTCTTGGCAGTCAGAAGGTCCCAGGTTCAGTCCCCAGCATCCCCTGTTAAAAGGACCAGGCAGTAGGTGATGTGAAAGACCTCCACCTGAGACCCAGGAGAGCTGTAAAGAGGGGCCGTGGCTCAGTGGCAGAGCATCTGCTCGGTGTGCAGAAGGTCCCAGGTTCAATCCCTGACATCTCCAGTTAAAAGGACCAGGCAGTTGGTGATGCGAAAGGCCTCAGCCTGAGACCCTGGAGAGCGGCTGCCAGCCTAAGTCGACAATGCTGACCTTGATGGACCAGGGGTCTGATTCAGTATAAGGCAGCTTCATGTGTACCATCAAAGAATCCACTGATCTAGAATTAGGGGTGAGGTCTTCCAACCATATTTGAACTCAACACCTTTCATGTTGGATCTTAAACGTAGCCCACGTGTCACGCTAGGGGTTCAAGAAGTGGACACCAGCTGGAAGGAAGAGTGTGTAATGTAGAAGTTGCCTTGCAGGGGGCACTGCAAGGCTATTTTATTTCCTTGGGTTGTTAAGGACCACATGAAACTGCCTTCTACTGAATCAGACCCTTGGTTCAGCAAAGTCAGTATTGTCTATTCAGACTGGCAGTGGCTCTCCGGGGTCTCAGGCAGAGGTCTTTCACATCACCTCCTGTCTGATTCTTTCAACTGGAAAGGCCAGAGATTGAACCTGGGACCTTCTGTATACCAAGCAGATGCTCTGCCACTGAGCCACAGCCCCTCCCCAATGGAAAAGTATGTAGAGTCCAGAAATTTGGGGAGATTTATTGTACCTTGTATGTTTTGCGTTTGGATTTGCAAACTACCTTGAGCCAAAGAGGCAAGGTTGATATAAATCCTTTGAATGAACAATTATGCTGCGATTGGCCAAAACAAAAAGGGAGGGGGGGGGAATGCTTGTAAAATGAAGATCCTCCCAAGCACAAGTTATCTACCAATCAGAGACTGCAGAAGACAGTACATAAAATGCAGCTGAGAGCCAATGTGGTGTAGTGGTTCGAGTGTCAGACTAGGATCTCAGAGAGCCGGGTTCGAATCCCTACTCTGCCATGGAGGCTCGCTGGGTGACCTTGGGCCAGTCACACACACTCAGCATAACCTACCTCACAGTGTTGCTCTGAGGATAAAATGGAGGAGAGAATTATGTAGAGGAGAAGAGATTGGATTTATGCCCCGCCCTTCACTTGGAGTCTCAGAGCGGCTTACAAACTACTTTCCCTTCCCCTCCCCACAACAGACACCCTGTGAGGTGGGTGGGGCTGAGAGAACTCTGACACAAACTGCTCTTTTTCAAGGACAGCTGTGCCAGAGCTTGTGACTGACCCAAGGTCACATCAGCAGGTGCAAGTGGAGGAGTGGGGAATCAAACCCGGTTCTCCCAGATTAGAGTCCGCACACTTAACCTCTACACCAAACTAAGCCACCCAGGGCCCCTATTGGGAAGAAAGATGAGGTATACAAGAAGTAAATAAATAAACTGCGATGTGCTTCTGGACCTTTCAGCTCTGTGTACCGTTTGTGAGGGAAAGGCTTGACGATCTGCCAGCCCACATCTTCTGGTGGTCCCCGGCCCCAGGGACATCCATCTCGCCCCGACTAGGACATCCATCTCGCCCTTACCTGGTGGAATGAGCTCCCGTATGAGAGCAGGGCCCTGCGGGACTTTTTACACTTCCACAGGGCCTGCAAGACAGACCTCTTCCACCAGGTTTTTACTTAGGGTGGCGGACATCCCTCCCTCTCTCCTGGGCCTCCCTTCAGTGGGTCAGAACTGTGTTACCATCTAAGGACCAAAAGAGATGGCATCTGTGAGGCTTTAACTATGGCCCCGGTCACACGGGCCGGATATCGCGGGGGGGAGGCGTGGCTAATTGCCCCGGTGCAGTTTGATCCGCGATTACGGGATCAGACACGCCGGCGGCACACCACGGGTCCTTCACTTGGTGCCGGCGTGTAAACGAGGGGCCGGAGGGGAAAGCCGCGCGCCGGCGCAATCACACCGCGGGAGTCTGGAGACAGCCCGTGGCAAACCGTTTACTAGTACTTTGGAGGTACTACTTTTTTAACGCTCATTTTTGGCGGTAAGCCATCGGTGCGCTCCGCTTCCCAGATGTTGGGGTGTGATCGCGCCCAGATAATCCGCCCACCATCCGTGCCTTTCCCGCGGCAACTTTGCCGTGTGACTGGGGCCTATGATAAAAGGGTTGGAACACTTTCCCTATAAAGAAAGGGTAAAGCGCTTAGGACTCTTTAGCTTGGAGAAATGATGGCCGAGGGGTGACATGATCAAGGTTTATAAGATTATGCATGGGACAGAGCAGGTCGAGAAAGAAGTACTTTTCTTCCATTCTCACAATACAAGAACTCGTGGGCACTCCATGAAATTGCTGAGCAGTCGGATTAGAACAGATAAAAGGAAGTCCTTCTTCACCCAAAGAGTGATTAACACATGGAATTCACTGCCACAGGAGGTGTCAGCGGCTACAAGCACGGACGGCTTAAAGAGGGAATTAGATAAACACATGGAGCAGAGGTCCATCAGTGACTATTAGCCACCAGGTATAGATAGGAACTCTGGGGCAAGTGATGCTCTATATCTCTTGGTTGGTGGGGGGGGGGGGACACTGCTGGACCTCCTGATGGCACCTGGTATTTTTGGCCACTGTGTGACAAAATGTTGGACGGGATGGGCCATTGGCCTGATCCAACATTGGCTTCTCTTATGTTCTTAACTTGTATTGGATTAATGCTGCTGTATTTTATTAGCGTTTGAACCATTTTAATTTTGTACACTGTATATTGTTTATTCTCTCTGATGGCGCCCGCCCTCAGCCTGCTATGCGGGGAGGGCGAGACATAACTCCAATAAATAAATAAATTACGAAGCTCAAATCCCGGCTGGCCCAGCTCAGGCAGGGTCACGTCATACCTGCTATAGGTCACCTGCTCGGAGCTGGGAGCCCAGTTGTGTTCAGGCATACAAGGAGCTCTTTGGGCTCTGCTTGTTTCCCTCTCTGACTGCTGGAGCTGAGCCACGTGCCGTGCCCAGCCCAACTGGTAGGGGGGGCTCCCGAGGCGGCGGCTCACACCCGTGTCAGCTGAGCCTCTGGCGTTCCTGCCATGGCTGGTAGGAGGGGGAGGGAGATGTTGGTCTGCTTCTGTCCTGGAATCTTAAGTTTCATTTCTTCTTATGCTCTTCTTCATATGCTCAGCTAGTGACTCTTGTGTCCTGAGAACCGCCACGAGGCGGTGGCCAGGCGAGCAGAGCTTGATTCCTATAGAACAATAGAGACTAGGCTCCTAAGGTTCACTAGGGGAACCAATAGAAACCTTGGAGGGGAATTCAAACCCCCCAATGGGATCCAGGGGTATACCCTTGGATATGTATATAGTTGGTCACAAGGCCTTTTGTCTAGAGCCGATTTCTCACTTGGCACTTACCCCTGGTTTTCGTCGAGTTTTCTGCCCCAGATCATTTTTGTCAATTTCACATTTAAAGCATTTCCAGCCAGTCTGCTCCGGGGGTTTCATTTTCGCATTACAGCCTTGGAGTGGTTTCCTTCAATCTATCTCCTCCCACTACCGCCCCTCACTCTCCAAACCCCTCCTATCCTCCCATCCTCCCTCCAACCCCCCGCCTTTTTATAGATGCATGCTCAATCACGTTACATCGTTATTACACAACAATGGGAATGAGTAGGCATCACGTGGCACATCTTCAGCTTTCTGATTGGTAATCTTTGTTCTTTGAGCCGGCAATTTTAAAAAAAGGTCTGGGGATTCTCCATTTTGAACCTCTCATCCCTGATACTTTTGGCCATGATGGAGGACCGTCGGGAGAAAGCGCTAGCTGTTGTCTGCTCATTGCTTGAGTGTATATTGCTGTGTATGGATTCCACTCTGAATTTCTCGACCGTTTCTGCTCCCCCCTTCTGGCTTCCAGATTCACCCTTTTTAAAAAAGAAAATCATCCCTGGGATATTCCCCCCCCCTCGCACGCCAGCTGGAAAGCACATTTCCCCATAGAAAACTGCCATGAAATGCCGTGCATCTATTTCATTGTTACAATAGGACGATATAACGACACCTTTTTTAAAAATGAAAAAAAGGGGAGGGTGGGCTAATGGGTGTGGAAAAAGTGGGGAGGGGGGAAGGTAGGAGGGCTAGATCACTGCGAAGCAAAAGGATAATCCTGGGATTCGAGGATCACGCTGATGTGGAGCAAATCGGGGGAAACTCCAGGCCAAAAGCAGGCTGCGAATCAAGTGGTGTGAAATTGACGAGATGCATCAGGGGAAACAGAAAGTTCACCCCGGGCCAAAGTCTTGTGCGAAATCGCCCTAGGTCTTTTGTAGTGTGAAGTACTGAGTAAACGTGTGTTTCTTATGTCGTTGTCCGAGTCGTGATGTATCGAACCGAACCGAGTACTTTACAGTGACCTTGGTACCTCGTTACTGCTTTCCCCTGGGAATGTTGACCCGTTAGCCTAGGCGGGCTTTTGCGGATGCTCTCATTGGACCTGGGTTGTCGGGGGGGGGGGGCTTTGAATGATGTATAACTCCCCACTGGCGCATTTTCTGGTAGTTCCAACACAGAACGTGTGCACAGAGGACCTGCCTTTACTGTACTCAATAAACTTTACTCTTTTGAATGAAAGGTGTTGGGAACTGATTGCTGTGGGACTCTGACACCCTGCTCAAACCCCGCCCTCCCCAGGCTCCACCCCCAAATCTCCAGGGATTTCCCAACCCTAGGTAGCAGCACCAGAGGCCACAACCTCACGTGGTTTGACAGCCTGCCGTGGCTAGAGAGGCAGAGGTAACATTCCAAAGGGGGAGCCAGTGTAGGCTGGAGAGCTAATAGTCTTGTCAAGAGATTACTGCTGATACTTCTAAAACGTCTCCTTTCCTCTTTGCATTCAGAGTTCGGCAGAATGTGTATCGGGAAGCTTTTCCAAGCCTGTTGCCGCCACCAGGCCAGGAGATCAGGAATCTTACAGCATGCCTGTCAGTCTCTGAACTCGGCACCGGGGAGGAATTATACATCCTGTCCCTATAAAGCTGTGATCTTTGATATGGGTGGTGTTCTCCTTCCTTCCCCCTTCAGACTGGCTGCAGGTGAGTGCTTCTTCTGGAGGTGTGTCTGTTCAGCTCTGTTGGGCCTGTGAATTTTGTCTGTTTCTCTGCTAAATGGTTTACTGCCTGGGAGGGGCTCTGAGGTGCGGCTTTTCCATCAGTTGAGTCTGATGTGACGTGTGAATGCGGTCAATCTGATGACTCGGCCGTGAGCATTCCAGAGTTGTTTGTCCTGAACGATTTGGAGGTTTTTATAGCATTCTCAGGGGGTTTTTTGTAGAAAAAGCCCAGCAGGAACTCATTAGCATAATAGGTCACACCCAACAGCAGAAACGCATTAGCATATTAGGCCACACCCCTGACAGCACAGCTCGTTAGCATATTAGGCCACAACCCCATGTTACTAGAAGTGTGGTCATCCAGCCACACCCACCTTTTGCTCCTTATTCTGTTTACCTTGTTTGTTGTCAAAACCCAGGGCTTTTTTGTAGCAGGAACTCCTTTGCATGTTAGGCCACACACCTCTAATGTAGCCAATCCTAATGAGTTTCTGCTGTCGGGTGTGGCCTATTATGCTAATGAGTTCCTGCTGGGTATGGCCAACTCAGGAGCCAGCCGGAACTCTGTTCCTGTGCATTCCTGCCCAAAAATAGCCCTGAGCATTCTGCATCGTCTGCATCAAATCCAGTGCAAATGGTGAATTTGGTTTCCATGGATGCCTCGAAACCTAGCATTTCAGACTCGTTTTCTCACTTTATTTCTTCATTTTGAATTGTGTGCCATCTTTTCATGGGCCTCTAAAGCAGCTGAGAATCAGATCTAAAACACAGCATTTGTCATTAAAAAGAGGTTCATAAAATATTATTTACGAGGGTCTCATTGAGTGTTGGTCCCAAGAGTCTCTAATGCATTCCACTGGTTTTGTGTTCAGCATTTTGTTCATAAAATGACCCACTTTTTCTACCATTTCACCAGGCCCCTTCTCAGCAAGGTTGCCAGCTTGCTAGGATAACATTGCCCTGACAAGTGCAAACGCACCCTGCTAAGTAACCGGCTCTGTGCTGTGAAAAAAACACAGCACCCCCAAATGGTGCCTGGCTCCATCCAGATCATCCTTCATTTTCTGCCTGGACTCTACCTGGACCCATCAGATTAGCTGTCTCTGAACATCACATTCAGCCATGGTCTGCCTCTGACACCTCCTACCTGCCATGTGGTGTCTTGATAGCGAACCAAAAGCTAACGAAAAAGCCATTCCTTAGGCCAGGGTTCCCCAACATGGTGCCCACGGGCACTTTTCTTGGTGCTAGAAAGTGACCCATAGCAAATCTTTCCTGTCCACTACTTCCTAAAGGCAGATGTTGGTTCCTCATCGATTTGCCTTCTTTCCTGTAGAGTGGGAGGTCCGGAACGGTGTCTCTCCTGGCACCCTCCTGCAGGCCTTAATATCTGGAGGGGAGAACAGGCCCTGGACGAGGTTCCTGAGAGCGGAGCTGAGCCCAGAAGAGTTCCTGCATGAATTCGGGCAGCAGTGCTCCGAGATCGTAAGCCACTGCTCTGCTTGATTTTGGGGGAGCGTTCTGTGTTTGTGTCTCTCTCTCTTGAACAAGATCCCTACAGGGTGCTGGAAAAAAAAGATTAAGAAGGAAAAAAAGGAGATTAAGAGACTCCTCCATGGTAGGCTTTCTGCCTATTGCATGAGTTTCCCACCCTCCCTCCGAGAAACTCATCTAGCCTGACCACAAGCCTGTGAGGCTGGTTAGAATGAAAGAACGGGGGCTGGCGGCATGGAGATTTGAACCGGGCTCTCCCTGACCGAGGTCCAACACTCTCTCTGCAAAGACACGTCGGCTCCCTGCTCTTTTTTCTTCAATTCTTTTTTTCCTCTTTTGTGCTGGAAAATGACGCAGGGTGCCAAAGGCAGCAGGATATTGTCATGTGATAGAAGAAGATTCAGCCTAGGTCTCTCCCATGCTGGGCTTTTGCTCCAGTTCAGATGCTAGTGAGAAGAATATGTTTTTCCCAACTTCCACACATCTCGGTGCTTTTGTGCACCTTCCAACTGTCCCCCAGCTTTTCTGCGACCTTTCCAAAACCTGCTTGACTACAAAAGGTCGTAGCAAAGCCAAGGTGGCCACTGTGTAGATGGGAAGGAGCAGATCTTTCCTCGTCCTGCTCATACGGACATTATTTTCACTGCCCAAGGGTGGCCGTATCCTACTCCCCGTGTGTCACCAGAGGGCTTTTCAGAGGGGAGAGTTAATCAGTAATTGTCAAATCGCTATGGAGTTATAATGTTTTAACAATCGTGCTGCGATCATACGCACAACTAGATCCGACATAGGTGCAAATGCCAGGCGGATTTAAAGGGCGCAATCAGACGACAACACCTGGGAAGCGCCCTGTAGCCATCGGCAACCTGTTCTCCGCCACAGAAGTGGAGTTAAAAGACACCGGGGAAAGTCCGGTAGTTAACGGGTTGCAACGGATCACGGCCGGACTTTCCCGTCTGATCACTCCAGCGCGTTCTCATGCCGTCGGGATGGTCTGATCAGGCCATCCCGACTCCGTGCTGTTGTTTCCCCCCCCCTCGCAGTATGCGCATCATCGCACACTCCATAGGGAGCCCTCAGTGCGGAGGTGCAATTAATCGATTCCTCGTTTAAGTGCATGGGAAACAAACAGCACAAAAAAAACCCCGACTCACCCGCAGTTGCGTCTGATCACACACTGACGGACTGCACCCGCAGCTTCGAAGGGAGGTGTGATCGTGTAGCTGCGGGTCAAATTCCTCCGGAGGAAATAGCCTCGCTTCCTCCCTCCCTGTTTTTTCTGGTGTGTGTGACCGCAACCCTAGTTTACTTTATCACCTGTATATGGTGGACCAAAAGGGGTTAATGTAACCCAAATCTTTTGTAGCTGCTTGAAGCAGGAGGAAAGAGGCAATGTGGAGCCCCGTTTCCACTGCACTGGTTCAGCAGCTGCAGCAGCAGTGAGAAAACGAAAGGAACAGGTTTGCGGTCTGGCAGCATTGCTGGATTCTGGCCTCCCGTTGGATAAACAGGCGGCCGAGGTGGCCCGGGGTGCCTTCCACAACAGTCAGCAAGTGAGCCAACTGTTGCTTTCCCTGAGTAAGAAAGATCTTGCCAGTGTGGCGCACGCCCTGGTAGATTAGAGGACTGCAATGCACTTGACGCAGGGCTGCCCTTGAAGGGTATCTTGAGACTACAGCGGGTACAGAATGCTGCAGCAAGGATGCGGTCCGAAGTGGGTTGTCGAGATCACGTCGCTCCAGTCTTGGTCCACCTGCACTGGTCTTCCAGTCTGCTTCCAGGCCCAATTCAGGGTGCTGCTGTTGGCCTGTAAAGCCCTGTATGGTCTGGGACCTGCATTATACTTCAAGGACCACCTCCTCTTACACGAACCTACCTGCCCGCTAGAGTCATCTTCAGGTGCTGTGCTTCAGGTGAAGTCAGACAGGAGGCAATCCAAGAAATGGCCTTCTCAGTCATGGCGCCAAAATTATGGAATCCCCCCCCCCAAAGAGAATCATCTATCCCCCTCAATCAGTGTCTTCCGCCAGCGGGTGAAGACTCTTCTGTTTTGTCTGGCAGTTCCATACTGACCCTCCTTCTTGTTTATACAGTTTGGTGTGAGAGCCAGTTTGGCGTAGTGGTTAAGTGCGTGGACTCTAATCTGGGAGAACCGGGTTTGGTTCCCCACTCCTCCACTTGCATCTGCTGGGTGACCTTGGGCAAGCCGTAGTTCTGCCACAGCTGTTCTTGAAAAAGAGTGGCTTCTGTCAGAGCTCTCTCAGCCCCACCTACCTCATAGGGTGTCTTGAAAAAGAGCGGCTTCTGTCAGAGCTCTCTCAGCCCCACCTACCTCATACGGTGTCTGTTGTGGGGCAGGGAAGGGAAAGGAGTTTGTAAGCCTTGATAAGCATATGGAGCAGAGGTCCATCAGTGGCTATTAGCCACAAGGTATAGCTAGGGACTCTGGGGCCAAGTGATGCTCTGTCTTCTTGGTGCTTGTGGGGGGGTCAACAGTGGGAGGGCTCCTAGTGTCCTGGCCCCACTGCTGGACCTCCTGATGGCCCCTGGTATTTCTGGCCACTGTGTGATACAGAGTGTTGGACTGGATGGGACTTTGGCCTGATCCAACATTGGCGTCTCTTATGCTCTTATGTTAAGCCGCTCTGAGACTCCTTTGGGTAGTGAAGGGCGGGGTATAAATCCAATCTTGTCCTCCTCCTCCTCTTCTTCTTTTTAAAAAGTGGATTTTAAATGGCTATTTATTGTTTGCCGCCTTTAGAAGAAGAAGAAGAAGAGATTGGATTTATACCCCGCCCTTCACTTGGGAGTCTCAGAGCGGCTTACAAACTCCTTTCCCTTCCCCTCCCCACAACAGACACCCTGTGAGGTGGGTGGGGCTGAGAGAACTCTGACACAAAGTGCTCTTTTTCAAGGACAGCTGTGCCAGAGCTTGCGACTGACCCAAGGTCACATCAGCAGGTGCAAGTGGAGGAGTGGGGAAACAAACCCGGTTCTCCCAGATTAGAGTCCGCACACTTAACCACTACACCAAACTGGCTCTCACACCAAACTGTATGAACAAGAAGGAGGGTCAGTATGGAACTGCCAGACAAAACAGAAGAGTCTTCACCCGCTGGCCCTTAATTAGGGCCCTAGTTGGGCAAACAGGTGAGATATAGAGGTTTTAACTAAAAAGTCACCCCAGTGCTTTCTGTCAAAAGACGCGTCTGGTATTGGTGACCTGTGGACATTTCTCCTCTTCTTCTAGGCAGACTCCTCCATCCCAGTGGCCTCTTTTTTTTCTGCTCTCACCAGCAAGGCCACGTCCAAACAGCTCCCAGTTATGACGGAGGCAATAAAGTGCATCCGGACTGAAGGCCTGAAGACGGCAGTGCTGAGTAACAATTTTTATTTACACAGCGGAGAAAGCTTCCTACCTCTGGACCGGAAACAGTTTGATGTGGTAAGTGGGTGTTGTGTTAAAAAAAAAAATCTCGAATCTGTTACAATTCTTAATATATATTCCTTTCACCTTTCCCTTGTGGCTCCATCCCCTCCCCAAGAAAACACCTGCCGCGTAAACCCCATTTTAAGGACTGTCACCCACTTAATCTTGCAACTGCCGTGCATGTTCTATTCAACTTAATGCTGTCGCCAGTCATATATGAATAAACACACGCCTCTGAAGAAAAGTGCACACTTTGTTTTTAGATTCTGCAGCCGTGTGCTGCAGGAGTCTCTGTGTCAGAAGAGGAATGCTGGGCTGCCTGGCAACAGAGGGGAATGCCTCTTCTAGAGGGTGCATGCCAGTCTGGCGTAGTGGCAAAGAGTGTCATAAGAACATAAGAGAAGTCAATGTTGGATCAGGCCAAAGGCCCATCCAGTCCAACACTCTGTGTCACACGGTGGCCAATAATACCAGGTGCCCTCAGGAGGTCCAGCAGTGGGGCCAGGACACTAGAAGCCCTCCCACTGTTGCCCCCTCCCAAGCACCAAGAAGACAGAGCATCCCTTGCCCCAGACCGAGAGTCCCTATCTATACCTTGTGGTTAAGGGCCACTGATGGATCTCTGCTCCATATGCTTATCTACAAGTATCTGGGAGACCCAGATTCAAATCTCCACGTGTGGCATGGAAGATCACTGGGTGACCTTGGGCTAGTCACACTCTCTTAGCCAAGCCTACCTCACAGGGTTGCCGTGAGGATAAAACGGAGGAGAGGAGAATGATGTCAGCCGCTTTGATTCCCCACTGGGAAGAGAGGCAGGGTATGAATGAACGAAGCAAACAAATAAATAAGCATGCACATTTTGGAAGCTCTTGTGCCACAAGAGAATTTACGTTTGTTCAAAAATCCCCACGTTATTTATTTAATTCAATTTAATTTGTTTGCTTATAGCCACAAGGTATAGATAGGGGCTCTTGGGCAAGTGATGCTCTGTCTTCTTGGTGCTTGGGGGGGGTCAACAGTGGGAGGGCTTCTGGTGTCCTGGCCCCACTGCTGGACCTCCTGAGGGCACCTGGTATTTCTGGCCCCTGTGTGACACAGAGTGTTGGACTGGATGGGCCTTTGGCCTGATCCAACATCGGCTTCTCTTATGTTCTTATGGGCATCTGTTTAAGTTGTCAACAAGATTAAAAGTGAGAGCTGGCATAGCGTTGGGGCTATGAGACCAATGCTCCCTCCACGCTGTGGAGTCTTGTGAGCAAAAATTCTACTTGGTGAGCTACCGGCATCAAAGTTGTGAGCGAGCGATTTGGCCGCTGCATCAATCAAGTTTGCCCTGGAGCCCTCCTTCCTGAGCTCAGACAAAAATGTGTGAGCCGGAGGCTAAAAAAACGGTGAGCTAGCTCACACTCACTCAGCTTAGAGGGAACACTGTATGAGGCTGAGCTGCCAGTGCAGACGTCCCTGGTTCAAGTCTTGCCTTAGGCAAGCTGCGCTCTCTCAGGCTTAGCCCCCCCCCCCACACACACACAGACAGCAGGAGGACGTGAAGAGTCATCTGCCCCTGACCTGAATGGCCCAGGCTAGCCCCATCTTGTCAGAACTCAGAAGCTAAGCGGGGCCGGCTCCCCTAATCAGTCCTTGAATGGGAGACCACCAAGGAAGCCCAGGGTCGCTACGCAGAGGCAGACAACGGCACACCACCTCTGAACGTCTCTCGCCGTCGGGACTGTCATCCGTGGGGACTGCGACTTGACTGCACTGTCCTGCACTCCCCCTGACAGTGCTAATTTGCATAGGCCACACCCCCTGACATCACCGGAAGTGTGTCAGAAGGCCACACCCACCGCTCAGGCTCCACTGGACTGTTTTGGATTGCTAGCTTTTTGGGGGGGGGGGTGAACATGCAGATCTGTCTCACGGAGGAGGGAGAGCTTGTACCTGAATAAAGCTTGGTCTTAAAGGTGCCACTGGACTGTTTTGGGCCGGTGGGGGCCTCTGCAGCTTACCTGGCTGCTTCTTGCTCTGACTGAGGGCTGCTGGGAGCAGGGGGCGGGGCTTGTTGCCTGTGCCCGCCCCCTGGGCTCTTTACTGCCGGAGCTCCGCTTCTGTAGGAAATGACCCCTGGGTTTTATTGTTAAAACATCAGCTGAGCATTCTGGATTATTAGGCTGTCTGAATGGCCTGAAGTGCTTTGCACCGCAGAAAGTAGCCCACACATCCTCTTATAAACCAGTCAAACCAAGTAACTGAATTAGTGGCTGCCTGATGCTCGTTTGGCATCGTGGTTCAGCACGCGGACTCTAATCTGGGAGAACTGGGTTTGCTTCCCCACTCCTCCACTCGCAGCTGCTGGATGACCTTGGGCAAGTGCAAAGTACTGAGTAGTGATCAGCTCATCGTTTATTAAGTAAGCAAAACGAAAGGCAAGCTAGCGAGGTCCGAGCCCCGCTTATATCCGTGTAGAACCCCACACCCATACCAGTGATAGGCTATTTACCATGGAGGGGTCCATCATAGGGCTACTCCTAGGATCCAGGCAATCCCGTCGGTCCGCCCCAAGATCCGAATCGGCTATTGTTCGGGCACCCAAAGGTGCGCTTGACCGCGTGGTCTCGCTAGCGCTAATGTGGTTATCGCAGTATATAGCAGCAAGCCATTGTACTGTCAGAGCTGTTCTTGAAAGGGCAGTTCTCTCAGAGCTCTCTCAGCCCTACCTACCTCACAGGGTGTCTGTTGTGGGGAGAAGAAGGGAAGGAGATTGTGAGCTGCTCCAAGATTCCTTCAGGGTAGTGAAGGGTGGGGTATAAACCCAATCTCCTCTCTCTTCTCTCTCTCTCTTTATGCAGAGGGTGGTGTTGGCTACAAAGGGACTAGAACTGGCTCTTAAACTTAAGTGCTTCCTGAAGACCATCAGTCCTGCCAGTGCCCCAACCGGCCTCTTTGTTCCGCTTTACTTCCTCCAGGCGGCCATTTCCCCTCCTGTCCTCCACTTCTAAATCGCATCCGAGACCAGAATAGAACCCTTGTGTGCTATACCCGTCTGAATTTCTTGCCTTTCCCCCCCTAGATAATCGAATCCTGCCGGGAAGGGATCTCCAAACCAGACCCTCGTATCTACAAGGTGTGCTTGGAGCGTTTGGGTGTTCAGGCGAAAGAGTGCATCTTTCTGGACGATGTTGGGCAGAACCTCAAAACCGCTGTCCAGCTTGGCATTAAAACGGTGAAGGTGAGCAGCAGCACAGTGGGGGCTTGCGAGATCAAGAGCCGCCGCCGGCCGGGTTACGCCGTCCAGCTAGACCGGGGCCCAGTAGCACCTTAGACACTAGCGAGATTTCAGGGGTGTGTGAGCTTTCTAGAGTCAAAGCTTCCTGTGTCAGGCACAAGTTGTAATGGAGATCTCCGAGTCCTGATATCCCAGTTATAAGACGGGAGGGGCGTTGCGAAGAAGGGGCTCCAGATGCAGAGGTAAGATGTGCATAGTAATTAGCTTGATTGGAGCAGAAGATTCGATTTCGTCGTGAGATAACAATCCCGTGTCCCTGTTCCGCTTCAGGGGGGCGGCATTGTTCTGAATTTTTTAAATGTCTTAAATATCAGATTTTAAATATCTGTATCCATCCCCGAGGGCTGTGGTGGCTCAGTGGTTAAGACGCTGAGCTGCAGACCAGAAGGTCAGTAGTTCAGCAGTTCGAGACCTGAGTGCTGCATGATGGAGTGAGCTCCCGTCTCTGTCCCCAGCTCCTGCCATCCTAGCAGTTCGAAAGCAAGAAATTGCAAGTAGATAAATAGGTACTGCTTCGGTGGGAAGGTAACAGCATTCTGTGCACCTCGGCATCTAGTCATGCCGGTCACATGACCACAGAAACATCTTCGGGCAGTGCTGGTTCATTGGCTTGGAAACAGAGATGAGCACCATCCCCTAGAGTCGGATTCAACTGGCTTTCGAGCAAGGGAAACCTTTACCTATATCCATCCCTAGTAATGTCCTAATAGGAGAGCCAGTGTGGTGTAGTGGTTAAGAGCGGAGGACTCTAATCTGGGAAAACCGGGTTTGATTCCCTCCTCCTCCACATGCAGCCAGCTGGGCAACCTTGGGCCAGTCACGGTTCTCTCAGAGCTGTTTTCTCAGGAACAGTTCTCTTAGAGTTCTCTGAACCCCACCTACCTCACAAGGTGCCTGTTGCGGGGAGAAGAAGAGAAGGTGATTGTAAGCTACTTTGAGACTCCATTGGGGTAGAGAAAAGAGGGGTATAAAAACAAACTCTTTTGTCTTCAGATTGTGTTTAAGAATATAAGCAGGGCTTTGCTGATCCTGACCAAAGATGTATCTAGTCCAGCACCCAGCCTCCCGACAGTGGCCATCCTGTGGGGACAGTGAAGGCGAATGAGAAGGCAAAGGCTTTCTTTCCCTGTTCTTCCTCCCCGGTTTCTGGCATTGCACATGTACCTGGTGGTTCTGTTTAACTGTCCGCCTCCTCCCCTTTGCCCTTGGGGCCTGGGCCCACTTTCTCAGCCCTCTTTCCTCTCTTCCGTCTTCACATTAGGTGGATGACCCGGATCTGGCTGTTCGCGAATTAGAGGCCTGCTTGGGCTTCCCTTTGCAGCGCTTCATTCCATACACCCGCCCTGTGAGGCCCACCATGGAAATCCCCAAAGAGCCCCTGCAGAAATACCTTGAAGGTGTTTTGGGGGCTCTGGCAGAAGGTAGGAGAGTCTTTCTTTCGGAAATCGATAGTACTCCAGTTTTAAGAGATGCGGGTCGTATGAAGTGCCAGTGGACGCTGAGCTTCTGTGGGGTCAACAGAGGTGGCTCACTGGCCATCTAATTGGCCAAATATGTTTTTATTGCAAAGGGGGTAGCCATGTCTGTCTGTTACAAACAAGACAAAACAAAAATCTAGTGGCAGCCTTATTGCAGTCGGAGCTGTCATGAGGCACTGCTCACTTCATCTGCTAGCCATTTTAGCCTTCCCATGTCATGGCAAGTGAGAGCCAGTTTGGTGCAGTGGTTAAGTGCGCGGACTCTAATCTGGGAGAACCGGGTTTGATTCCCCACTCCTCTCCACTTGCACCTGCTGGATGACCTTGGGCAAGCCATAGTCCTGTCAGAGCTGGCCTCTGCCCCCCCCACCGCACAGGGTGTCTGCTGTGGGGAGGGGAAGGGAAAGGAGTTTGTCAGCCGCTCTGAGACTCCTTTGGGTAGTGAAGGGCGGGGTAGAAATCCCATCTCTTCTCCTCTTCTTCTTTTCCCTGGCGATCACACAGTGTCCTGCACACGCAAACTAGGCTGGGATGGGCGAGCTGATATGAAACCCATACTTCTGTTCCCCAGGGTGGTTGCAAACCAGTGGCTGAGGCGCGTGTCTCTGCCTCGGAGTGTCGTTGGGCTGTTTTCAAGACAAAACTTGGAAAAGGGTCTACCATATGGTGTGGGCTTGAGTCGCCGGGGGGGCGGCGTGGGGGGGCGAGCTGTGGTCTGTGGAGTGCTTTTCATCGCCAGTTATGACAGATGAAATCCAGGAGATGCCCACCCCTCCTTTTCACTGACTAACTTCAGCTGCACCTTATGCCAGGGATTGGGGGGGGGTTTTGGGTCAAGTGGCCCTTGCTATTAAACCCAGATCTGCGTCTGACAAAGATCACATCCCTTTTCACTCACCGGTCGCTTGACCTCCCACTCCCAGGACCTCTGCTACTGCGGCAGTTCAGCCACGGGCAGTCCAATCCGACTTACTACGTCCGGTTCGGGGATCACCAGTTGGTCCTTAGGAAGAAGCCGCCCGGCAAGCTGCTGCCCTCCGCTCACGCTGTGGAGAGAGAGTACAGGTGAGAGGAGAATCACTCCCGAAAGGGGACCCACTTTCGTTCACGTAGAAGGGCCCAGGCTGCTGGGTTTCACGGGATTCTTCGTGGCGGGGGTTCTTCAGTAACTCATTCAAAACGTTTTCAGGGGGTAGCCATGTCGGTCTGCAGCAGAACAGCCAGATTCAAGTCCAGCAGCACCTCAGAGCCCAACAAGATTTTTGGGGTAGAAGCTTTCAGGAGTCGAAGCTCTAGTATCTGATGAAGGGAGCTTTGACTCTGGAAAGCTCATCCCCCCCCCAAAAAAAACCCCATCTCGCTGGTCTCTAAGGTGTTGCTGGACTTGATTCTAGTTGCTCTGTTTAAAATATGTTCTTGTTTTTCAGTCTGGTGGTGCACCCAGTCTTTTCTATCACTCTCATGACTGCAAGTATCTGCCTAGGAATTGGCCATTGAAAAAGGAAAGAAGTCGGTTTCCTTTGAATGTGAATCCGACGACATCAACTAGAGCCCTCTTAGAGTTTAAGAAAATCTGGTTGCTGATTCTAACTAATCTGCCTAATCAGAAGGAAATTCCAAAGGAATCATATCATCATTATGTTTAACATATGTCGGTGTTTAAAAATGATACATTTTTAAACTACTTTTACTATTTTTATGTCCTTAATCTTAGTAAGACCTGTATGAACCCTTTTATGGTTGACGAGGTATTGATTTTTTTTCCTTTTCTGTTTTGTATTTTTTTGTTTTTGTTACGGTTGAACAATTTTTTTAAAAAAAGGAAAGAATGCTAAACATTATCCAATAACGTAAGTCTTTTTGATTTATGACTTGTTGTGTTCTGTTGTAAACGCCCAGTCGAACAGCCCCTGTGGTGTAGCAGATCCCGGTGGGCAGCCGCGTTGCTCTGAAGCAACAGAACGGAGTCTGAGTCCCATGATGGCACCTTGAAGACCAACCAAGTTTCACTCTGGACACACAAAAGCTCATACCCAGACTTAAACGCTGTTGGTCTTAAAGGTGCCCCTGGACTGGAATCTTGTGGTGTAGCCGTCAGTGCGAGCGAGGCCCAGGGAGGTCCGGGTTCATTTCCCTCTTCTCAGTCATGCCACTCCATGGGTAACTTTGAATCAATCACAGTCAGCCTGACCTACCTCAGAGGGTGGTTGTGAGCAGTGTTCCCTCTAAGCTGAGTGAGTGTGAGCTAGCTCACAGTTTTTTAGCCTCTGGCTCACACATTTTTGTCTTACCTCAGGAAGGATGGCTCCGGAGCAAACTAATGTCTGCGGTTGCCAAATCACTCCCTCACAACTTTAATGCCAGTAGCTCAGAAAGTAGAATTGTTGCTCACAAGACTCCATAGCTTAGAGGGAGCATTGGTTGTGAGCAATGCTCCCTCTAAGCTGTGGAGTCTCGTGAGCAAAAATGCTACTTTGTGAGCTGTCGGCATTAAAGTTGTGAGCGAGCAATTTGGCTACTGCATAAATCAGTTTGCTCCAGAGCCGTCCTTCCTGAGCTAAGACAAAAATGTGTGAGACGGAGGCTAAAGAACTGTGAGCTAGCTCACACTCACTCAGCTTAGAGGGAACACTGGTTGTGAGAATAAAAGGGGGGAGGGGAGAACAATGTACGTTGCCCTGAGCTCCTTGGAGGAAGGGGGAGATAAAACCAATACATATTAAAGCCAGCAGTTCATTCCAGTCTCAGTTCTTTCCTTTTTTTCCCCCTGACAGGGTTTTAAAGGCTCTTGCAGACGCTGGCATCCCAGTTCCAAAAGTTCTCTCTCTGTGTGAAGATTCAAGGTGAATTTCTTCATCTTTGTTCACGTCAATTTATTCCAGGTCCAGTCGAGTGACCACAGGACGCAAATCAGACATCATAGATCTCAGAACATAAGTGAAATGCCCTCTTACGTAGAATTGACCCTTTTTAATAACACTCTAACGGCAATAGAGAAGGATTTCGTCACTGCTATTATAATCTTTTCATTTTCCTTTGTTTCAAAAAGCAAATCTGAAACCGCAGATTTGAATGATCTGCCAGAAAGTTTATAAATCCAGGGCACCAGCAAAAGGCAACACAATAATAGTGCTTGTGAAACAGAATCTAAAACTTTATTCCCATGAAGCCATAGGGCTTTCCCACATTCTGAGAGCCAGTTTGGTGTCGTGGTTAAATGCGTGGACTCTAATCTGGGAGAACCGGGTTTGATTCCCCACTCCTCCACTCACACCTGGCTGGAAGGCCTTGGGCAAGCCACAGTTCTGACAATAGCTGTTCTTGAAGAAGAGCAGTTTCTGTCAGAGCTCTCTCAGCCCCACCTACCTCACAGGGCGTCTGTTGTGGGGAGGGGGAGGGAAAGGAGTTTGTAAGCCGCTCTGAGACACCTTTGGGTAGTGAAGGGTGGGGCATAAATCCAATCTCTCCTTCTTTTTCTTCTTCTTGTACCTGCTGGATGACCTTGGGCAAGTCATAGTTCTGGTCAGAGCTGTTCTTGGAAAAGAGCAGTTCCTGTCAGAGCTCTCTCAGCCTCGCCTACCTCACAGGGTGTCTGTTGTGGGGAGGGGAAGGGAAAGGAGCTTGTAAGCTGCTCTGAGACTCCTTTGGGTAGTGAAGGGCAAGGGGTATAAATCCAGTCTCTTCTTCTTCTTCTCCTTTACCTCGCTTGTGTGTCCCTGTTGCTTTGGAAGTTTTTCTTTTCTGCACATTTTGCTCCCTCTAGTAGTCAATTTGATATCACATAGCCGTATGTCTGGCATAGCGATGTAATATTGAATCGACCACTAGAGGGAGCAAAACACATGTGGAACAGGGGGGAACCCCAAAGCGACAGGAACACATGAGTGAGGAAAAGGAGAATGTGGATATAACCCCATACTCTTTCAGATGGAGGTTTCATCTTCGTTGAGTTTTAAGAGCAGGAGATAAGGCCGAACATCTGCGGTTTGACATCCGACCTGATGAGAGCGTCAGGGGCCTTGCTCTAATCCTCTTATGTTGCCCTAGCATCCTCGGCACCCCCTTCTACCTGATGGACTACTGCACCGGTCGGATTTTCAAGGACCCCTCCCTTCCAGGACTTGAGCCCAGCCAGCGGAAGGAGATCTATGCTGCCATGAGCAGAGTCCTCTGTCAGATCCACAGTGTAGACATCAAAGCAGCTGGCCTGGAGGATTACGGAAGGCAAGGTGCGTGCATACCTGTCCCAGGAGCAGGGCAGATGTTTGTTGGCAGGTGGGTCACAAGGCAAAGACAAACAAGGGCATCCGATTACACAGGGAACCCACTGAAATTCATAAACACAATTTCAACAGGAAAGAAGAGAGTTTAAATATAAATAGGGTATGGCTTCCTGTCCTGAAAAACACAAAAGGCTCTATATTTGACAATAGCACTACAGATAAGATTTGAACCTCCTCAGGAAACAGGAAACCTCCTCAGGAAAGAATCCATATGCAAAAGAACCTCCTCAGGAAAGCTCCTCCATTAGCATGTTTGCAGCCTGGGGAACACCTACAAGTTCAGCCCCACCCCACCTTCCTGAGTAGATATAAACTACCTGCCTACCATTTTTCTTCTCACCTTGACACAGAGAGTACTCCGTTTTTCTGTGTTATACCTTTGAGGATGCCAGTCACAGCTGCTGGCGAAACGTCAGGTCCCGCAATGCCAAGACCATGGCCACACAACTCGGAATATCTACAACAGTAAGGGCATCTTTTCTTGGCAGAGAATTTCATTGCAGTCTTTGCACAGCCCAGTCTCTCCCCGCCCCAGCCTTGAAGCAGGCAAGCAAGCAGAACTCCCCAGGAGCCACCAGGGATGATTGGGGGCCGTAACCCGAGGCCAGATCACACATGCAGCAGACCAAGCAGCTCTGGAGCTACGTGGCTTCAGGCTGCAGGTGGAGAATAGCACACCGGAACTCTTGCCCTCTGCATATTGGGCAGAGGGATCTTATCGATCGGTTGATTTAGCACCATCAAAGTGCCTGGTGCTTAGCAGAGTGCATGACAAGGGGTCACTGTCCCAAGGAGCTTAAATCTCGAATCTGAGGCAATAGCATCGAAACGGGGGTGGGCATGGATAACCAGAGGAAGAGTATGGCTTCCATTCAGGGATGCCTACGTAGGCTTTGTTTCAGCAGGGAAGGGGGCCGACCTGTGCCAGAAACTTCACAGCAAAGGCTCCAGAGAAGGGTTTGAAGGACGTGGCACCAGAAAGTTGTTCTGTGAGACTCCTCACATTAGGGGCAGCAAGGGAGAAAGGGCAGAGCTGTTCAAGGGAGGAGGAGACCTTTGAAGGGCTGAGCAGTGAAGCTGGAGTAGTAAAGGTCATAAGAACATGAGAGAAGCCAATGTTGGGTCAGGCCAGTGGCCCCTCCAGTCCAACACTCTTTGTCACATAGTGGCCAAAAATACCAGGTGCCATCAGGAGGTCCAGCAGTCGGGCCAGGGGACACTAGAAGCCCTCCCACTGTTGGCCAACCCAAGCACCGAGAATACAGAGCATCCCTTGCCCCAGACATAAGAACATAAGAGAGGCCAATGTTGGATCAGGCCAATGGCCCATCCAGTCCAACACTCTGTGTCACACAGTGGCCAAAAATACCAGGGGCCATCAGGAGGTCCAGCAGTCGGGCCAAAACACTAGAAGCCCTCTCACTGTTGACCCCCCCCAAGCACCAAGAATACGGAGCATCACCTGCCCCACCCTATGAGTTCCTATCTATACCTTGTGGCTAAGAGCCACTGATGGACCTCTGCTCCATATGCTTATCCAGTTCCCTCTTGAAGCCGTCCATGCTTGTAGCCGCTGCCACCTCCTGTGGCAGTGAAGTTCATGTGTTCATCGCTCTCTGGGTGAAGAAGGACTTCCTTTTATCTGCTCTAACCTGACTGCTCAGCAATTTCATGGAGTGCCCACGAGTTCTTGTAATGTGAGAAAGGGAGAAAAGGACTTCTTTCTCTACCTGCTCTATCCCATGGCCAGGGGTGCTGTAAGGACAGACGAGAACGCTTCTCCCTGTCAGCTAGCTTCCTCTACAGTGGCCAGGTGTGTGTATGTGTGTGTGTGAAACGGAGGCAGGGTGGGCGTCAGCATACCTTGAGGGTGGGGCAGTGGCCCAGGCCCATCAAGTCTGGCGGGGCCCACTGCTGTTGCTTACACCTCTCCTCCGACGCCTGCGCTCTCACCCCCTTCCCCTGCCTGCCTGGGAGTGATTTGTCCCCTCTGCTAGTCCCAGCTGCTGCGGATGCTGCCAAGTAGTGTTTTCTCTAAGCTGACTTAGTGTGAGCTCACAGTTTCTTAGCCTCTGGCTCACACATTTTTGCCTTCGCTCAGGAAGGATGGCTCCAGAGCAAACTAATGTATGCAGCGGCCAGATCGCTCGCTCACAACTTTAATGCCAGGAGCTCACAAAGTAGAGTTTTTGCTCACAAGACACCACTGCTTAGAGGGAGCATTGCTGCCACGCACTGTTGGGGAAGGGCATGTGGGTGGCGCACTAGGCATCAGCCTTCTCGGTGGCCCTGGCAGTGGCACCGCTACCCCCCAGCACCATCAGGCAAAGGGCGGGCAGGCCGCGTGAGCGGCTGTGACCGCAGGTGGTGGGACACCTTGTGAGTGGGCAGAGGAAGGATGCCCGGGCAGGTGGGAGCACGTGGATCGATGGGCAAGAAGGGGGACCTGGTAGTAGGCATGGGGGGGCTTGCCACTTTGTCCAGGCCCCCCCAAACTTCCTCACATGCACAGCCCAAGGGGGTATGTCCAGGAACTGCTTTACGGCCTTATCTGGGAGGGGCCGTGGCTCAATGGTAGAACACCTGCTTGGCATGCAGAAGGTCCCAGGTTCAATCCCTGGCAGCATCTCCAATTAAAGAATTATATCTGGTGATAACGAAGGGCCTCAGTCTGAGACCTTGGAGAGCAGCTGCCAGTCTGAGCAGACAATATTGACTTCGATGGAGTCCAGGGGTCTGATTGGGCATCAGGTAGCTTCATGCGTGCTGTTTGGGTGCCTGAGGCTTTCTTCCCAACACGGGTACCGTCTGTCCAGTGGGGCAACGGCGCCACGCTGCCTGGACCCTCTTCTGTCTCTGCTTCCCTCTGGGGTGATTTTCCAGAGAACTCCTGGAGTGAACAAGGAGGCACATAAGAACATAAGAGACGCCAATGCTGGATCAGGCCAAAGGCCCATTCAGTCCAACACTCTGTGTCACACAGTGGCCAGAAATACCAGGGGCCCTCAGGAGGTCCAGCAGTGGGGCCAGGACATTAGAAGCCCTCCCACTGTTGACCCCCCCCAGGCACACACCACTTTTAACCCCCACTGTGTTGCAGACAACTACATTCAGCGGCAAGTCCAGACCTGGAGCAAGCAGTACCGTGCCACGGAGACGCACGCGATCCCAGCCATGGAGAGGCTCATGGCGTGGCTACCCACCCACCTGCCGGCCAGCCAGCAGCTCTCTGTGGTGCACGGAGACTTCAGGTAATGGCCGGCCAAAGGCAGCTTCCTTGGAAAGGCTGCCGGAGTCCCTCAAACAGAGAAAGAAGCAGAGAGAGGGACAGTTTCTCATGACTGTACTTAGGGACATTTCTCACTATGCAACCTGTACCCTTCAAGAGCCAGTTTGGTGTCGTTAAGTGCACGGACTCTAACCTGTGAGAACTGAGTTTGATTCCCCACTCCTCCACTCACAGCTGCTGGTGTGACCTTGGGTCAGTCACAAGTTCTGTCAGAACCATTCTCTCCAGGGCATTTCTTGAAACGGCTCTCTCAGCCCCTGCTACCTCACAGAGTGTCTGTTGTGGGGAGGGGAAGGGAAAGGAATTTGTAGGCCGCTCTGAGACTCTGAGTGAGGGGAGAGATATAAATCCAATTTCTCCTCCTTCTTCATATCTGTTAGGAATGGTGCACACACAGCTAAAGATTTGCTTTTCTCACCAAAATGCTCGTTAGTCAGGGAAAGATGGGGCCTAGAAGATTTGTGACGGGGCCAGGGATCTCCCCTCCTCAAACGGCAGGGTTTTTTAGTTGCAGATAGTTTTAAAGGAGCTCAGATGTGTTGGTTCAATACACCCGCTCGCCTTGCCCGTCTCTCTAACCATCGTGCCTTTCCTCGGCAGACTGGACAATCTGGTCTTCCACCCGGACAATCCAGAGGTCGTCTCCGTCCTGGACTGGGAACTCTCCACCTTGGGCGATCCTCTTTCCGATGTGGCCTACAGCTGCCTGGCGTACTATTTGCCGTCTCACTTCAGCATTCTAAAAGGTACAAGAGCACGAGGAGAAACGCTCATGCAGAGCTCTGTTCAGAGAACACACAGCCGGGTTTGGGGCTTTGTTCTGGAGCCTCAGCTGGAGCCCAGAGAAGGAGAGCTGCAGAGCGAGGGAGGCCCCTGTCATGGCTGCAGGCACAGGAACGTAGGAAGAGCCCTGCTGGATCAGACCAGTGGTCCGTCTGGTCTCACACAGTGGCCAAGCAGGTCCGCTGGAAGGCCAACCGCAGGGCACAGAGGCCCGATGTTGCCTCCTGGCACTGGGATTCAGAGGTTTACCTCTGCTGAATGTGGAGGCTCCCTTTAGTCACCATGGCTAGTTGCCACTGATTGACCCTCTCCTCCGTGAAGCCATCGAATCCCCTTGCAAAGCCACCTGTGCCTGTGGCCGTCCCTACATCCTCCGGCAGCGAATCCCACATTTTAATCACGCATGAAGTAAAGAAGTATTTCCTCATCTCCAGGCATCCGGGGAGGGGGCTGGCCAGTGAGGGCATGTCTGCACAACACTCTTGTGCAGTAGATACCAGCTGAACCCTCGTGGGGAATCCTGGGAAAAACAGTTTAGTGACGGGACCAAGAGTCTCGTGTTGAAAATCTCCAGCCTCCCCAGCACCAATCTGAATCCTTGGGGAGGCGGAATGCCCCTCTTCCTAGCATCAGTCTGAGATGCATGCATGCTCACAGTGCTGCAGACCTGGGGAGTGCCACGTCCCCGTGACTGACTAGGAGCCGTGGCATGCAGGACTGACATCCTGGAGGCTGCTGCCTGCGCTCCTCTGAAAGCCTCGCAGCCAGTTTGGTGTAGTGGTTAAGTGTGCGGACTCCAATCTGGGAGAAGCGGGTTTGATTCCCCACTCCTCCTCCACTCGCAGCTGCTGGATGACCTTGGGCAAGCCATAGTTCTCTCAGAGCTGTCCTTGAAAAAGAGCAGTTTCTGACAGAGCTCTCTCAGCCCCGCCAACCTCACAGGGTGTCTGTTGTGGGGAGGGGAAGGGAAAGGAGTTTGTCAGCCGCTCTGAGACTCCTTCCAGTAGTGAAGGGTGGGGTATAAACCCAATATCTTCTTCTTCTCCTCCTCCTCCTGCCGGGTATTGCTTTAATTCGATTAGCCAGTGCCCCCTAAGAAATTTAAATGCCCCCCAACTTAAAAAATCCTGGCTATGGGCCTGCCACTGCTGCCTAACACAAGAGATGGGCAAAACGTAATGACCTGGTTCTTACGGTTGCAGGAGCATCAGGGGCTTGTGGTGGTGGATCTCTGCCATATGTAACCCCGAAAAGGTACAGCCAGGGATTGCGGGGCCCTGCGGACAAAAAGCCCCTGGGCACTGGGGACTGCAGTGAAGATGAGGAATTGGACACAACTGCCCCCGCTCCACTCTTGCAGCCACTCAAAGCTTGGCAGAGGATGTCTTCTGTTGGGTTCCCAACAAGAAGGGGACAAGATGGCAGGACGCTTCGTCCCCCTTGATTCCCCCTTCTTGCTGCAGCCCACTGAGCCCGCTGGCCCTTTGTTCTCTGGGGTCCCATGACCCCCAGCAGTGCCCCTTCAGGGGAAGAGGAAGGCAGCAAAAGGTCTGCCCCCACAAGCCCCTTCCATTCCCGCAGAAGAGGACCCAACCAGGTGTCTGTGTGTGCAGCAACTCGCAGCTTGCAGGACTCAGCTCTGCTCCCTCCGTTTTCAGGTTTGAGCGACTGCGATCTGAGCCTGCTGGGCATCCCCACGCCAGAGGAATATGTCCGGCTGTACTGCGACCACGTGGGCATCCCGCCCATCGAGAACTGGAACTTCTACATGGCCTTTTCCTTTTTCAGAGTGGCGGCGATCCTGCAAGGGGTGTACAAGCGCTCGCTCACAGGTAAGAGGAGATGAGGTAGGCCTGTCCCCAGGGCCTGCTCTAGGTGTTCGGTTCTCCGGAGAGGGCCCCGTAGCTGCAGGGCTGGTTCTCCAGCTGAGCCACCCCAGCAAGTCCTTGGGCAGCACAACAAGGAGGGCGGTGATGCCCTGGAGGGGCTCAGCTGACTCCCCAGCCTCCGGCAGCACTGGCAAAGGCTGGCAAGTCCCCACCTGGGACTGCACCACTGCTGGGTGGTTGGGAGCCACGCCCCTGCGGTGTTGCCCCTGAGCGTAGGTTGGACCGGGCCGGTAGTGGCAGAGGCCTAGGAGGGCATGTGGTTAAGTGCGCGGACTCTAATCTGGGAGAACCGGGTTTGATTTCCCACTCCTCCACTTGCACCTGCTGATGTGACCTTGGGTCAGCCACAAGCTCTGGCACAGCTGTCCTTGAAAAAGAGCAGTTTCTGTTAAGAGCTCTCTCAGCCCCGCCCACCTCACAGGGTGTCTGTTGTGGGGAGGGGAAGGGAAAGGAGTTTGTAAGCCGCTCTGAGACTACAAGTGAAGGGCGGGGTATAAATCCAATCTCCTCTTCTTCTTCTTCTTGCTTGGGGCAACAAAATGCTTGAACTGGCCCAGCGGAAATGTCTGGGAGTAGAGGAGGCATGGCTGGTGGGGTGCAAAAGAATAGAACGCCCAGCCCAGACGCCTTTGCACCAGCACAGGGGACTCTGGGGATCAAGCTGCAAGAAGAGAACCAGCACATGTGGCCTCCAGCCGAGCCAGGCCCTACAGCAAGAGAGCCAGTCTGGTGTCGTGGTTCAGTGCGTGGACTCTCATCTGGGAGAACTGGGTTTGAGTCCTCACTCCTCCACATGCAGCTGCTGGGTGAACTTGGTTCAGCCACAAGTTCTTTCAGAGCTGTTCTCTCAAGAGCAGTCCTCGAAAGAGCTCTCTCAGCCCCACCGACCTCACAGGGTGTCTATTGTGAGGAGAGGAAAGGAAGGAGATAGTAAGCTGCTCTGAGACTCCGAGTGAAGAGCGGGGTATAAATCCAATATCTTCTTCCTCCTCCTCCTCCTCTTCTTCTTCATTTATTTATTTATTTGATTTATACCCCGCCCTCCCTGCCGAAGCAGGGTCAGGGCGGCTTACAAAGCCATTTGGCAATAAAACGTTAAAACAATAAAACAATAATCATAAAAACACAGTAATGTCAAAAATATAAAGTACTATGTATGGTAGGATGGCAGGAACAATTCTAATCAGCTGCCGTAGGGTCAGCGCTAGTTGTATGGCTGGCAGTTTGGTTCCCGTGTAAATCGTTCCCCTGTATAAGCGAGGAATTTTAGAACTGGCGGCCAAGATGGATCAAGGGCCCCCTAGCTTACTTGGTGGGTGTTACTTAACCTGTTTGCTCAAACGCTTGGCGGAAGAGCTCTGTCTTGCAGGCCCTGCGGAATTGTGGTAAATCCCATAGAGCCCTGATGTCATCCGCTAGCTCATTCCACCCAAGAGGTGCTGTTGCTGAGAAAGCTCTGGCCCTGGTTGTGGCCAGCCTGATATCTTTGAGGCCAGGAAGAGTGAGGAGATTTTGAGATCTAGAATGCAGTGCCCTCTGGGGAACATATGGGGAAAGGCAGTCCCTCAGGTATGCAGGCCCCTGGCCACATAGGGCTTTATAGATAAGAACAGGGCTCTTTTGTAGAAAAAGCCCAGCAGGAACACATTAGCATATTGGGCCACACCCCTGACAGCACAGCTCATTAGCACATTAGGCCACACCCCCATGTTACCAGAAGTGTGGTTATCCAGCCACACCCACCTTTTGCTTGTTATTCTGTTTACCTTGTTTGTTGTCAAAACCCAGGGCCTTTTTGTAGCAGGAACTCCTTTGCATGTTAGGCCACACACCCCTAATGTAGCCAATCCTAATGAGTTCCTGCTGTTGGGTGTGGCCTATTATGCTAATGAGTTCCTGCTGGGCGTGGCCAACTCAGTCCTGCCCAAAATTAGCCCTGGATAAGAATCAGCACCTTGAAGCGAACCCAGTATGCTATAGGTAGCCAGTGAGGTGCTTTCAGCACAGGTCGAATGTGTTCCTGCAAAGGGAGATGCAATAACAGCCTTCCTCCTCCTCCTCCTCCTCCTCCTCCTCTTCAAGCACACCGTTTGCTGCCAGGGCTCTCCACGGGCAGGACTTAACTGAGTCGGACCCCAACAAGTGGCAGTAACCCAGCATCTGTTGTCAAAGGCTTTCACAGCCGGACTTCATTTGTTGTTGTAGATTTCCCGGGCTGTGTGGCCGTGGTCTTAGCATTGTAGGACCTGACGTTTCACCAGCAGCTGTGACTGGCATCCTCAGAGGTATAACACAGAAAGGTGGGGGACTCTCTGTGACAGTGTGAGACGAAAAAAAATGCTAGGCAGGTAATTTATATCTACTCAGGAAGGTGGGGTAGGGCTGAGTCATTATCTTGCAGGAGTTCCCCAGGCAGTGACATGCTAATAGAGGAGCTTTCCTGAGGAGGTTCTTTTGCATATGGACTGGCTGTTGAAATTCTAATCTTATCTGTAGTGCTGTTGTAAGATGTAGTAAGAAAAATGGTAGGCAGGAGGCATGATTGCCCAGAATGGATCCTCCATGTTCAGAAGACACATCCGGCTGTCATACCAGGGGCAGACCATGGAGCCACTGGTCTCAGTCCTGGCTGGGTTGGGAAGCTCCCCGGCATGGGGGTTGTTGAAGGTGGAGCACTGGGCCGGACAGGGAGGGCCTGTGGCCTTGGCCTCTGAGGACAGGTTGGTTTGTTTTTTTACAAATGCAGCTTATTGGAGCAGAAACAAGCAAGAGTCTTGTGGCACTCTTGAGACTAACAAAATGGTCTTCTAGAATATGTTTCTCATAGACAAGGACTCGTGGGTTGCAAAGAATGCAAAGAGGAATGGGCTCTGTTGGTGGTGGAAAGCGGCCTCTAGTCGCTGCTGACTTACGGCCCCAAGGCAAGAGACATTCAGAGGGGGCTTGCCACCGTTTGGCTCTGCGTAGCGACCCTGGACTTCCTTGGTGGTCTCCCACCCAAGTACCCACCAGGGCGACCCTGCTTCGCTTCCGAGACCTGACAAGACTGGGCGCACCTGGGCCATCCAGGGCAGAGCAGAGCAAGTTCCACCCCACACACAAAAAATGTGCCGGAACAAAATGGCCGTCCTTCAAGTGTCACAAGTCCCCCGACCCTTTTTGCCGCGACAGATCAACCTGCCCCCCCCCCCAATTATTAGCATGTTGTTGAACATCATTTATTTATTTATTTCATTTCTATCCCGCCCTCCCCGCATGCGGGCTCAGGGCGGCTTACAAGGCACTAAGGTGCTATAAAAACAGATACATTAAAACTTAGCAAGCTAAAAATATATCATCTCACAGGTGCATGAAGGACCAGATTACACATTCTCCCTTACATGTCGTGGGGAGGTCCGGTGACAGAACCCAACTCCAAGGGGAGAGGGCATGAGCCATGATGTTCCCGCTTCCCGAAGGCCCATCCCCGGCGGTCCTGCTCCGCAGATATACGGTGGTGGTAGTGGCGGTGGCGGCCCCTACTCAAAAGCCTGGTGGAAGAGCTCCATCTTGCAGGCTCTGCGGAACTGTAAAAGGTCCCGCAGAGCCCTGATCTCCTCCGGGAGCTCATTCCACCAGATAGGGGCCGCCACCGAAAAGGACCTGGCCCTTGTTGCAGCCAGCCTGGCCTCTTTAGGGCCCGGGGTCACTAAACGATGCTGTGACCCCGACCGAAGTGCTCTTTGGGGCCTGTATGGGGAAAGACAGTCCTTCAGGTATGTCAGACCCTGGCCATGTAGGGCTTTAAAGGTAAGCACCAGCACTTTGAAACGAATCCGCACTTTGAAACGAATCAGTTGGCAAACCCAGAGGGCTTTTGAACATCTGCCGTTCGTTCCTCACAGGGCAGGCCAGCTCAGCAACGGCCGAAAGCAGCGGGCGGCAGGCGGAGCTGATGGCCGAGCTCGGCTGGGACTTCGCCACCAAAGAAGGCTTCCGTGTCTTCAAAGGGCTTTCAGTCCCCAGGCCTCCAGGCACGCAGGCCGGTCCCAGCCCATCCCCGAGGAGGAGCTATGCCACGGGGCCCCACCCCAGGCCGGCTCCCGCATCCAAGTCTCACCTGGTCATCTCCCCGGAAGGCCTGCCCGGCCGAGTCCAAGAGCTGCACCGCAAGCTGGAGAGATTCATGGACGTCCACATTTATCCGGCTGAGCAGGTCCTGCGAGACCACCAGGCTGCCCAGAGCAGGTGGACTCCGCACCCCCTCACAGAGGAGCTCAAGGCAAGTGATGTCCCACAGAGAAACGGACAGCCACGGCCTGGGTTTTCATTGGGTAAAAAAAAAAAAGCGCAGTCGGCATTC